GCCGGCCACAACCGACCGACCAGCTTCCGCCCTGCTTTCATCGAGAGACGCGCAAAAGCACTTCCGGTCTGGACGGAATGGAGCGAACACCGCGTAACTTAATCCGATTTAATATCGAGTGCGCAAAAATATGGCGAATGTTAGCGAAAAGAGGAGCATTATACAAATTTCGTCGTGATCGCTCGTTTATCGTCGATGATACGTATCGACGCGACAATAAGTGCATTACGGTCCTTTTTCCACATCACTTTCATTGTGCAATCCCTTTCGAGCCATTTCTTTTATCGCCGATTCGCATTTCTGACGAAAATATTTCCTCTACGCTCAAGAGCCAAATTTTGAGGCACGATCAGACTTTAATTCTGCTCTTTCGACTTGATGAAAATAGAATTAAAAGAGATATCCGTGAGGATTTCTATTTGAAATCAATCATAGGAAAAACATCTGCAGGAAATAAACTGTCATAATTATTTAATTAATAAAGTACAGGATTGCGAGATGCAAAATACGATAGAGATTTTCAAAATTTATATGTGCATATCTGCCTATACTAATTTATTATCCATATCCGCGTAATACTGTCACATATCATCACTTATATAAAATACATATTACACTTTATGAAACACATTAATTCCACCCCAAGATAAAATATTTTATATCGGAATTTAATTTGCAACGATTATATTATAAAGGCAATTACATTATAGAGGCAGCAAACTTAAAATGTGACAGATTGAAATTAATTATCGGATATAAAAAAAAATATATCGCTGCAAATGTGAATTAGCAATGAGGATTAAAGAGGAATAATAATAAAACCGCATTATAATTTCATTTAATTTCAAGCATCAATATTACACACACGCACACACATATATATGCATTATAAAATATTCTTTCAATTGTCAAGTTTATTGGCAATGTTCCCTTTAACGTTCTTTCCCTTCTATCTCAGAACCGCACCAACATTGCTTCACAAAGAGGGAAAGCGGCACGCGAATAAAAAGCAGCAGGGAAATCTATGTCTTTGAACTAGGATTCGATAACATGGTTTGTCACTAAAGGACATTGACAACCGTCGGCAAACTCCGTACCGTCTGGCTCTGCACCGATCGAATTCACTGGAGCTGCGTCTGAAAAATCTCACATTCATTCGCGTTACATTTACCTTGCATTTTCATCTCTCGCCCTTCGTTCTACTCTGTATCGTTAATCTAGGAATTTATTTTGTTAGTAAAAATCCCGAAAAATCATAACTATTCTCTATTTTATAGCGCAAAATAGATAAGGTTCTTAAGGATGCTTTGTATGTACAATATGTCCCAGCAAAAAATAGCTGAAAATCAATATTAACGAATATATCCATTTTTGGTGTATTTTGAGTATGAGAAATTGCGTGGAATAAAATAGTTTATTGCGTTTTTACTGAAATATTCCGAATACTGATATTTTGTTAATCAAAATGATTAACTTTTGGCAAAGAATTTCGCCTTGTGACAGATACATGGCTAACTTCCTTAAGTTATATTTAATATCTTTTTAACTAGTTAGTACTTGTATAATATTATTTGACCAAATATTTCCTCTGTATCTAAACTTTTGCAAATTTTAAACAAATTCTGTTAAAATATTAAATATTATTTCCATGTGTTTTTGTCATTTGAATCGACGTAATTATACGTTTCCCATAAGAACACATGTTAATTCGGTGCAAATTAAAATCCTTATAACTTGTGAACGCTTTAGTGGATCGATTTAAAAATTGTACTGAAGATTCTAAATATATGCAAGGACGTTCTGTACAATTTTCATTAAATTCTCAATATTTTCAAAATAGGTACGAAACATCCTTAAATAATAAATTTCTCGCTTCTATAAACGTAATCACTTACATAAATTTATATATAAGTTTTAATGATTTAATTTATGACAGATTGACGTGAACTCTCGGGAACAACATTTCAAACAAATATTCCGTATGCTTTCGCGGTCCGTATGCTTTCGCGGTTTAAAAAACGATAGTATAAAATGTAAGAATGACGTTTCGGGTCGCGATGCTAATGAACTTCGAAATCGAGCTCCAAAATAAACTGACTCTGTTCGCAGAGCTCGTGTCCCATAATAATCTCTGTGTATTTCATATGTCGCAAATATGGCGTTTGTTGCGCAGTGCGTCGGGCGACATATTAAACGCTGTAGGCGTTTTCTGTGCGGCGTCAAAGATAATCAGGTCGGGCCGTGTTTTCGATAAACTTCACCGTGACGCAATTAACCCGCATGGTTTACAGTCGCGACGTGGTACGTTCGTCGAGTAAATAGTAGTTGTAAAGTGTTTAACTATCAAGCGGGAGAATAAGAGAGACATTTGCGAGTAAATGACATATGTTTCTGCCTCATGTTGCCTTTACGCAAATTTTGTATACGTCAAACAAGTCATCGAGAGACTCGTAATTATATCGTATGCTTAGATATGATAAATCTGTCAGTTAATTATTTTCATGAAATTTAAAAAATATTAAATATATGCATATTAAATATATTGCAATATTAAAAAATGATAATATTATGTGCTCTTATATTTGAAGGGAGAGCAGGTTTGTTGTCTTGTATTTACTGAAGTATAAATATAAATTGCATGATGATATAATGATAATTATTCAACGATTTACTTTTATTTTGCACGATCTGTTACTCGATATCGATTACGTTCGCATACTAATGACGCAGAAATATCGTTTCCAATACAAAGATATTTCTCGTTCTCCCCCCGACGAAATAAATCAAAGGAATTGTAGGCGTGTCGTGTTCCAATTAAGTGAAGAATCTGTTATGCAAATCGAGCGCTATCGATTACAGCTGTGACGAAGCGCCACGATGAATTTAAGACAAATATCCGTGCAATGAAGACAAAAAGGGAGCCAGGGTGCAACTTGAACTTCTCGAGATAATAGCTATTTTAACTTGATGCGCTTAAACGCGGTATTTTAGGAAACTGACATCTGTGCTTGTTTGTTGTAAATAAATTGTTACAGAAGATCAACACCATGTTGTTCTCCCTACTTAGTCTCTCCCTACGTACGTTTGACTTGGCGGAAACTCGAGGGATTCTCGAAACTTGCTTCTACGTGTGTCCAGGATATGCGAGATAAACCCCTTCGAGGTGTCTTCGCGCTATCGATTTGCGTGTGTCACTCGATTCTTCAATTGTCCCTTGATCGATTAACGTTCACGTCAGCGGGATGAGCGATGCGAAGTCAAGCGGTCAGGCTTGGTCAAAAAAACGTTGTGTTTTATCTGCGTTCAATTTCTCAAACGCATCTGCGAAACGACATCAGTTTTATTTACACGCGACACGGGGAGAAAACGTATTTGCGGGAATGGGATTGCCGTATGCACGTGAAAACATAATAAATCAAACGACGACGGCGACGTCCCGCGCCGCACAGAGTCTGACAAAGAAATCTTTGCTAACGGCGCCTTATTATCATTCCCTGTCATGCGACATGAATATAATAGACGAGAGCTCATTGAACGTTGTATTTTCACCAGGAATTCTATATTGTGCCTTTGAAAATCACGCGATCTCGAGAGGGGGAAAATGGAACGGAATATCATCCCCACCTCCCCCCTCTCTCTCTCTCGTTTTTATTAACGCAAATTTTCCTCTTCATTTATACTCGATATTCTGCTATCGAGTCGTTCTTTTTTTTGCGTGGTCATATTTTACACTGGAAAAAAATTATATGAGAGCTCATATGTCACGGAGAGCTCATATGACACAAGAAATCTTCTCCGCTTTATTCATTTGGAAATATGTGTGTACTTGTGTATGTGAGACATAATTTAGCTTAACTTATAAAAACCTCTTATAAAGATATAATTATTCATGATTTAAAAGTCAAACGCGGAGAAAAATGTGATTAAATAACAAAACTTTATTCTTAAAACGTTTAAATTCAAAACTTTTAGTGGTTTCGAATTGGATTAATTCTAATTTTGTTATAAAAATGAACATTTACTTGGTGCGCAAATAACTTTTTTCAAATCACGTAATTAACTTTATCGTGTCAATCTTTATCTTATCAATAAACATGCAAAGCGTGTTTATAAAAAGATTACAAGTAGGCGACTATAAATCAACCGTCATAAACGTCAGAAATGTCATACACATTTCTATCATATAAAATGTTTGTGAAATTATTCGTCGATATCAGATGTGGAGATTTATATTTACAATTCTAACGATATTTTTTAATAGTACGAATATTTGCATTTGCTCCTGTGATACAATCTGTTTGATGTTAAGTAAGGAGTGATGTGTGCGTCTGTCTGTGACGCAAATTCCCGCATATTCGTGCATGCTTACGCCGTGCGCGAGTGTGGGTCTCCCTGCGGATCGTTTTTACACCCGCATTCTGGAGTAACAAAACAGTGAATTGATACTCGATAGCCAAGCTATCGATATGCCGTTCGGCCTTTGGCCGAAATGCGACACGGCAGCCTTTGCCAAAACCAGACGGATAGCCGTATCCGGTTGTCGAAAGGAAGAGCTCCTTCTGCAGTACACGATCTGCCTAAAAACGCGCCGTATTCGTTATTTTTCCATTTCGCTCGCCAACGCAAACCTGGGCATCACGTTCGAAGAGCTTCAAGTGCGCGAAATAATTTTTTTTACCTTACATTTGCGTAAAATCTTCACGTAAGCAAAATCGAAAAAAAAAAGAAATATTGCTCAAAGATTTCTGTATCATTGATAATAATTATAAATTATTTAATAATTATAAATGCGGAAAAAATCTGCTCAATCTGGAAGCTTTAATGAATGCAAAATATATTAATTGCCATCTAAATGCTTCATATCCAGAACAATGCAAGGTCTAAATATATATTAGCCGAAATATCGCGCGAGTTAATTAAATAATAAGTGTCTGATATCGGAAAGCGAGCGAACAGCACGTGCGACATGGCGTTAACGAGATTTTAACTTTTGATTTCAGTGCGAGAAGTTACGTTGTCCGAACTCAGGGACTCGATAGCGAGGTTACGGGAGAGAGTGAAGCTAGTATGCAGGACGAGGGGCTCGCCGCCCCCGAGAGTGCACTGGTTGAAGGACGGTGTACCGCTGCACCCCCGAAGAGGCCTCAGGATTCAGCACAAACGGTGAGTCCGACCAAGAGTCTTTATCATTAACCGCGCGTTCGCGTCGGCTTCTCTCTATCCTCTCGGACGTCAGCTTTCGGCAATGGCACACCCCCGTAATAATACGTCGGGGTAAACTACTCAGACAACGAGCAGTTAATTCTAGATATCCTCAACGGAATACGTATTCCGACACCCGTCTCAACTCCAAGCGCTATCGATACACTCTCTTAGACTGCCTCAAGGATCATTGTCGAATCGTTAGATAGAGTGAGGCGGATTTGATTAGGATTCTTAATGACGTCGCATTTCAGACACGTTACATAATAGTAGCGTAAAAGATGTAATTATTTATCATTTATTCACGCGGAAGCCTGAGTTTTTTTAAAGATTTGACAAAGAAATGAGTCTATATTTAACATCATTGCAGTGCAATTATTTATAATTTTTAATTGCATTTGATAAAATTTTCCAAATTAATGATAATAAAAAATAATAATAATAAAAATGATAATAAAAAGGTAAAAAAATGTTATTATTTAATTTTATACGATTTCGACGCGATATAATACACGAGCTGCTGGACGAGAGCGAAGAATATCTTGGAACGGCGTAAGATACGAGTCGTCGGGAGAGTTTTGGAAACTACGAGAGAGAGTTTTAGAGGGGGAGGTGGGCGATGTGTGCTTTTCTCACAGTTCGATGGATTTTAACGAGCCCTCGAACTCGAATTGCGAGTTCGGTGTCGCGCGCGACAACTTTGCTCGCGTTTAGCAATCTCGAAAACAGCTCGCGTCCAATCCTCGCACACTTAGTCGGATGAAACGAGAAAAAAAGGAGCAGTCATCCTGAAAATTGCGACGCGTGGCGAAAGAGAAACTTTGCGACGTACGACACGAACGTTCTAGCTTGTCTCGTCGATGCGTGATATTTTTAATAGAAACTGAGAATTAGTTTTCATCATTACGCTTTATTGAATACTAAAGGGTATCTCGTAATCGATACTGGTCTAAATTTATGCACTTTTCTCTCGCATTTTTGCAACGTAAAAAATAATAAATATGTGTTGCTGCATCAGCATATTGAGAGCACATAATTTATTCTGTGAATATCATATAATATTACGATTACATAATATTATGATTCATAGATCTCCAAGTTCGATATTGAATATGTTTTGTTAAAACTTCCTGATTTTTATCGTAGCAAAAATATTTATGGATATATCTTCGAGCATAACATTTTGCACATATTAAGAAGCAAAAACATTTGCAATCATCTAGATGAAATTTTTTCTTCCTTGCATGAAAATATTAAAATTCCACCCTTATGCTCCAATATCGCTAGCAATTTGCTAAAAAGCTCGAAAGTAATTATTTGGGATAGGACGCGTATATTTATTTAGCCGTTGGTTCGCCCAATAGAAATGCTTGTTGCTTCCAGATTTACAATGACAGGCCTTGGAAGCTACAAAATAAACTTTGTCACTCGCAAATCAATCAGAATCGTGCTCAACAAGTGCGCGGGAAAACACATCACGTAACGTGAACGTAATTGCTGTTACAGAATGCAACATCCGTTTGCAATCAATCATGACATTAGCTAAAGTTCATTGCGCTATGTTTTTATCGATCATCGCGTACGAGCTTGATATAACCGTCTATGTCTGCTTTTGATTCATCATACGATATTAATTACAGTCACCGAGAGAGCGAGTTTAAAGTTAGAGAAAAAAATCTCACGCCATTGGGTCGTTATATCCAGATCGAAGACGGTTTCTCGATTCATAAAATCACGCTTACTTTATTGCATGTGCTTCGTTTTTTTTCGCTTTACATTCGCGTCAGTTTCGCTTCTTATTAAACTCCTATAATACATCACATTTTTCCCGGATGCTTTGCGAGACATCGATTTAATCATATTCCGCGAATTATTCGCGATCATGATGATGAATAACGTTTATAAAAATTTGTTTCACCGCACAAGTCTCTGTCGACGTTAAGCTTCGTATGTGAGCGATCGATCATCATGAAATTTAATTATGATTGCTACACACATACGTTTTTGCTCTCTGATTTACATTTATAATTTATCGATAATAGCTGACATTATGAGTCATCGCCTCGGAAATGTTACACGATCGTGAGAGATGCGATTTAGCTTTTTTAACGATTCTAAGAAAGATCCGAGGAAAATGTTATTCGTGATATTTATAACCCCCCAAACTCTTATAAGGTGTCTTCCTCGAGTATAGCTACAGCTTCGCGGCAGGAAATTCTGTCTTGTATTAGGTCCTATATATTTACGCGGGGGCGAGGAGAATTTTTAACGAAAAGAAAATAAATTGGGAGGGTATCCAGCCGCGATCGACGCTTCTCCGTGAAAGCGTACGGCGCCGTTCCGTCCGAGGGAGAGGAGAGACGACGGCTGGAGGACGAGAGGAGAATTTCGATTCGGGGAAACTCGCCGGGGAGCTCTCCAGCTACTTCTCGTCGACCATAATCTCGGGCGTGCCATAAATTTGTTTAGCGCGATGCACTTTTCCTCGGCGCGTAAGTCTCGGAATAATCTCGGAGCGGCCCATAAATTCGCCACCTTCGCCACCGGCGCTCGCCTTTCTCACCCGGGCCACCCGTTATATTCCGGTCGCGATAGATACGGACTTTTGCGAAGGCGAGAGCCCTGGACGTGTGCGCTTTGGAAACGACCGGGCGCCTCTTGCACTTTGTACATTTCTCACGTCGAGTCGCCTTATATTCATCTTCGACGCCTAATGTGTGTGTTCAAAATTTATCTCCTTCCTTTTCTAGGATATAATTCATTAATTAAATATATATAATAAAAATTCACAATCTAAATTGTATATAATCATTGTCCCTTTTTATTACGATGTAATTTTCAAATAATTTTATCGCTCATTTTATGCAAATTACTTTTTAAATATTTTCCCATGTATCTTATCTTGAGATATGCTGCAACACGCTCGTTGCTCGTAAAAATCAGAAAGACTGTTACGAAAGAATACGATATCATGTTCTCGTAAAGCAGTGATTCTTAACAAGAGACTCGCGTATTTTAGACTTCCTCTAGAAATAGAAATTGTACTAGATTTTCTTCCGGTATGAGATTATACAAATTTTTAATCTTTATTAAAATAATATCATGTGTAATTTTCAAGAGCAAGTTTTGAGAATTCGAGATATAAACCGGACGAACGAAGAGGTTAAGAACCGCTGCTAGAGAGGATGCACCAAGATATCCAAGAAGACGAAGAGAGGCAGGTGATGATCCGTAAACATCCTCGCACGTCGTGGTCTGCCCCTCGTAGCGATCTTACGACGTCGTACCGGCCACGTCACCTGCGCCGTGAATGTTCCCCACCATAATTTTCAATTACCGTCCTCGCGACGAGACGAGACGAGACCGGGATATCGCGAACGCGCTGTCAATGTCATTCGGCTCGTAATCGTTACCGGATAACAACCGTGTGATCGTAAAATCGAACGTGTCCGCGCTATTTGATACGCGAGAGAGTCATATGCCCGCGAAACCCCCTTTCTCGCTCGCATCACCGACAAACGCCGACGTAAAACTGTCATCCGCCGCTTAAGCTTGTCTAGACTGGGCGGCGTGTATTTTATAGACGATATGGTCCCGTCGGGCGGAAATATATTCTCCTGGCCTTTGTGTCCACGCGTGCGATACATCGGTAAATCTTTCTCTCTCTCTCTTTCTCTTCCTCCTTCGTTCTTTCTCTCTCGCTGATCGTTTCCGCGCGCACCGTTTCGTTTGGCAAAAATTGCCGTCACCTTTGCCGAACGACCAAGAGAAATATTGGAATTTCGAATGACGAACGTCGGTGCTTGGCTCGAAAATAAACTCGTAATCTTGTCAAATCACCGACGCAATATATAAAACAAAGCAGATATACGAGGGCGAGTGTCAAAAGACACGAGTCTTCTATTCGTTTAGCTTCGAGAATAAAATAGAGATGACAGGCGGATGTTTCTGTTTTCGAAATACTGTCCGGGGAAGATATACTTCTCGTGGGAAATTGAATTTTTATATGTGGCAACTGTGTCATATTTTTATTTCCTAAAATTCACATCAAGAATATAAATACTTATTTCGTATTTCGTGCGCTTGAGAATAAATAGGACAATTGAGAAATTGCCTCACGAAAAGACCAAAGCTAAACAAGATTTACGACAGCTGCGTAAAATCTAATTTGAACATTCTGGAAACAAAAAGTAACTCCCTCAATAAATATATTGTTTAAACATTATTTTCAAAAATAATATCTCAGAAATAATGTATAAAGAAAGTAATAAATGACAATAAATTAATTGCAAATCAAGTCGATTTCATTCAGATAAATATATTCAAAGCATCGCGTATAATTGTGAACGATAAATCGATAAGAGCCCCTTTTCGGTAACGTCTTAACATAAGCTTCAGGATGCATTGAAAGACCAGAAATCTGACGGCGTTCCTTACACGAGAGCTTAATGATTTCCATGAAATTAACCCCGAGGCATCGTGAGATCGCGACGTTAATACCATTACGTTCGCAATCGAATCTCGTGGCCCTGTCAGATCGCATTCAACCTATGCGGACTTGAATCGAAACCCCTTGAGAGGACCGCCAGCATTCGCAGGGTTTACAGCATTCGCTTTGACCATCTCGGAAGTAGCTTTGATGTCGCGTGTAATGGAGTTTTACGTCGCAGTAAGGAACGGAGGGAAAACTTTGCGCTTTGCGGCGAAGAGAGAGGAAAAATCGGAAGAGGAAAAATCACGGGTGTTCGCGAGCAAGTTTCCTTGCGAGGGCCTTTGGCGCAACTTTTCTGTTCCTTTGAGTTTCCTAATCTGTCCCTTACATCGTGTCGCGTAATTAGCTTGAAAGCCCGGCGAAAATTCCGACAAGAAGGGAATTCAAATTAAGTTATATGCGAATCGAAATACGCCACGCGATAGATATTCACCGTGCGAGTAAAACAGTTGATAAGGATGAAGGGAAA